CGTTTAGCCATTTCGGAGAACCATTTCCATGTATGGCATCCTGTGATTACATTACGTTCAAACACGGCTGAGGTTAATGTCTTTAACCCCGAACATTTCCATAGAAACATAAAATGCACACCGATACTGGCTTACTTTGGGTTATTAACGTGTCGGAACATTCTTAAATTCAGCCTGTAGTAACAAATGACGTGTTTTTAAACAGATACCATGAAAAAAGAAGGGTGCTTAACATCACACAACTTTAAATTCGACAGTTGACAGTGAGGGTGGGGGTGGGGGCAGTGGGGTCTAAAAACATTTGGCATATTACATTGGTTTTTAATACATTTTTAATCTGATATTAGGTAGTTTTCGCCGCACGACGTTAACCTTAACTTTAACGTTAATACCCAACATGCAACGCGATAACTCCGCCCCTTTTGTAAACAAATCGAAATACGCATGCGCAAACCCGTAACTAACGTCCGTCGAGCACGTAAAATTCTGAAATTAACGTACTCCGCAACGCAAGATGAATGCATTATGACGTCATCCGTTAACGTTGAGGTTAACGTCGTGCAGCGAAAACTCACTATTTTCTAAATTAGACTTTAATCTTGACCAGACTATCAAATTTTGCTTGACTAAAACATGTAACATGTTAATATGGTCATGATGACATCACATCATGAACATATATAGGCACATCATGACTATATATGGGCATACAACAGTTTTTTTTATTTAAAAAAAAATGTTTTTTTGGATAGAGCCTCGATGCAAACTATTTCCATTTACTGCATCCCATTTTTATTTTGAAGTCATGTACAGTACAGTATACAACCAATGCCGTAGCCAGGATTTTCAAACAGTGCGGGACAATGTCGGGGTGGACCCACTTTACTTCTAAATTCAAATAATGTGGACTCATTTTCTTAAAAGTTGACCCATTTTATGCAAACAATATGAAAAATGTGGACGCATTGTCTTAAAAGTTTACACATTTTATGCAAAATATGAGAAATCTGGACTTTTTTTTTTTCAAATATCGGACTTTTTTGTTGTTGCATAAAATAGCATGCATACTGTAATTTATATTTATAAAAACGCTCAGCTCCTCGAATAACCCTTTCAGGAAGTTAGGCGAGTTACAGACCATTATTATCTAGTATCTGTTGTAGGCTAGTTTCAGTCGAGTGGCGCTGCACTGCGGCTAATATGCCGCGGTCCCCACGGTATGTGTTACATTTAAGGACAAATAAAGATTTATTATTATTATTATTATTATTATTATTATTATTATTATTATTATTATTATTATTATTATTATTATTATTATTATTATTATTATTATTTTAATATATATAGTTATACGAAAAACTGAAACTGGAGACAATCGATGATTTGGCATCCGTAAAAAATCCAAAGAAGCGCTGTAAAGGGCTAGCGATTATACTCGTCTTGGTTATACTAGTAATCACGTGCCTTTGCCTGGCAACCGTCATCTATACCCGGATATCGGAAGAAAAAGAGGAACACGCTAAATACCAGGTATTATTTTTGTTTTACTAATTTAAATAATGCATGGATTGAATGTCTTCGGTGTAATAGGCAACAAGGATAACCCACGAAAGTCATGAGGCTTATTTGCAGTGGGGGTTCTTCTGATGGTGAATTGGGCTTTTCCTTAAGAGTGTCTGCGTTCTTCAACGTGCACGTCTTGGGCCATTTTGCACACGGTGGCTGCGTTCATGCATTTGCGCCCTCCATGCTGAAACACAAGGAGAGTGCAGCGATGGGAATTGAACCAGGAAAGAGATCTCCAAGGATCTACCACCAATTTAGCCAACGGAGCTAGCTGCTCTCGTAAAGGTGGACCTCAATTTGTTTTCCTAAAAATTCAGCTCTTTCAACGCTACCAGCAGTTTACTATCACATTTATTTATATAATGTTGGAAAATACCAAAATCATACAGGTGTTTTTTTTTTTTTTTTTTTTTTTTTTGGCAAATTGGTTTAGTATTGCGAAGTTGAACATTAGTACAATTATCTTTTTAATTATTTTTTTTATGTACATTTATTTGTTTAACGTATTTGTCACATCTTTTTCACGTACGTTTACTTCATATACTGTATATTATTATTAATTTCTTTTTCGAATGTTCAAGATAGATAATTTTCTAATTTAAAACCTTCAATTAACTACCACCTATAAAAATCGCCAAGTTTCTGCGTAGTCAAAGTGAACGCCTATTTTCAATCTTTAATAAAGCCTCTAAAACCTATGTCCACAATGGCCTTTAATTTATGGGAGACCTACATACTGGAGTTGTTGTAATGTGGTGTGGATATTAAATCGATAGAAGTACGCAATGTCTCTCCGTATAATATTGTGATTTCCACACTGATTATGAAAACACGTGATATTCGTTTCACTACTTGTTATTATGGGTTATAGTTAAATGACAGTGTTTTGAAGCACGGCGTATATTTAATATCGCTTTTTCAGAATTGCTCTTATTATTATAATTTACAGGATTCAAATTACGTATGCGTAATTATGAAGAAATTACTTTAGCGTTGTGTTTGACCAATTCCATTAACCTTAGGAAAGTCTTGAGCCTTTTCTCCTATGTGTAGGCCTATATGCTGTACCCTTTAACGTAAAACAATTTTGAAAACTCTATTTTATTTATGAATACAGTCTATACCTTATTTGATACCAGATAATATGTGAAAAGTGTGCCGAATTTATAACTGTATTTTTTTGCTAGGCCTAAATAATTTAATCTAATCAACCTACAAATTGTCGATATTTAAATATATTTTGAAATGGCCTTGGCCAAGGCCATTAGAAATTATATTAAAAAATATTAATTGTTCATTTAGACCACAGGCTCATTTTATTTCGATCTTTACGGAAATTTGTTAACAGCAAAAATACAAAAAAAAAAGAAATCGAGCTCAAATGAAAAATAGGCCTAATAAATTTGCGAGAAAATATTCAAGTTTAATAATATATTTAAATATAAAAAGTATATAAATATTCCAAGTATTTTAGCTCAAGACATTATAAATTTTGTAATAAAAATTGTTGATACAATAGTATTTAATAACATAGTTCATCATCTTTCTTTGATGCATCATACACGATAGAAATTGAAAACTCTAGAATGATTCTACAAAATGATATAGTACCGGTACATTATGTTTTGTCACAAAAACATAGGGAACCATATTTGAATTCATGGTGTCGTGAGCAGGTTTCCTGGATTTTAAATCATCGTGTCATGCCTGTAAAAATAATAATGTATTGTACATTGTTCTTTTGCGATCAATAATGTTGGCCTATATGAGGAAACATCTATTTTTCATGACATATGAATTTATGTGTATTAGCTAGTTATAACAATCACCATCATCATCAGCAGCAGCAGACTTGCAGCGACGAACTTGTTAGTACTCTACTTGGAAAATCAACCGGTGTAAATTAAAAAAAAAATCATCATCATTATAATCGTCATCATCTTCTTCGTCATCATTATAATAATCATCATCATCATCACATTCATCATCATCGTCGCCATCATTGCTCACCTCTTCTTGGTATGAACATTGCATGTGGTTTTTTAAAGCACTTTTCCATGATTTTAGCTACTACAGACAATTCTCCCAACTTCTCCAGTTTATTACATATATTTTCTTTAGGCTAAACTAATAATGAATTTATTTTTTTAACAGATAATTTTTTTCATGAATTTTCCAGCATCTCTTTCGTTTTCCACCATACTAACTTCTCCATGTTGTTATGGAACATATTCTTCTTCCTACAGTTGTCCATTTTATCACCATTCTTGAATAACAATTCCTTTGCTGATCACGTGTCCTAACTATCTTCATTATGTTTTTTATAAAGAAAAACCTCTTTGTTTGTCTTTATTGAATTGTACATGTTATTTTGTGTAGTTCGCTGTTGGTGATTTTATTGGCAGCCTTATGTGCATTTTTTCCTAAAAAAACAAATAAAAAAACAATAATTATTAGATAGAATCAATAATTACTTGCTTTGTGAGTGCTAAGGTCCGTCTTTTATTATAAAGGTATTGTTTAATTTTTTTAGGACACTCGTCGTTTTGAATGTGACATTATGTTCCATGACCCGGATGATGACGTTCCCAGACGGCAAGTTAATGTAAGTTCGTTTGAATCCGTTTCCATAGTACCGGTAGGCACTCGTCATTTAAAATGAATAATTTGTAAATAAAAGGTTTACTGTTTTTCTTTTAGCTGCTGTTTACTAAAATAAGAAGAAAATGCACTTACAGCAATATTTAAATGAATATTTCATTTCTATAACTGGCATATGATAAACATTGTTACAAAAAATTCATCCAAGTTAAAGTCAAGTCTACCTCATTTAATTTTGAATAATAGCAAAAATTTCATTGTTCTCCCCAAGTATATAAAATGTTATTTTACTACTTTCTGTTTCAATATGTAATGGTGGTTTTTTTTTTATTCATGCCGTGGTTTCAATGTAGTTTTGTTTACTCCCTTTTCAGTGATTTTTTTTCATTCATGTCGTGGTTTCAATGTAGTGTTGTTTACTCCCTTTTTAGTGATTGTAAACTCATTATGTCGCTGACTATTGTTGTACTCTTATAATATGCGAAGTAATTATTAGTTGGTTTACATTATTGTTAATAATTCTATAAAAATTATTGTTGACCGAATAACAAGTATACTAGTCCCGGACATAAAAACTGAACTAAAGAACTTCGCTCGCAATTTGACCTATGAAGATAAGGTTTAATTTAGTGCTGTTACGTTGCCTGACGTTTTGACTTCGAGACTCTTCAGGGGAACTAACATGACTATGCACTTTTCTCCTAAGTCCAGATTTAATTCCGCAATACTTTGAGTGAAATGCGTAAAGGAGGCACAATTTTTGTAGTTTGGTATTAGTAAAAATTATTGTTTAATAATAAAAAAAAAAAGTGGGGGGGGCGGGAAAAAAAAAAAAAAAGGGCGGGAGGAAAAAAGCGGAAGAAAGTCAAAAGGAAAAGAAAGAAGGAAAGGAATTATTATTACTTTTGGGAGTTATGGTTGTAATTCTTCAAATCACAAGGATCTTTTTTAGGTGGGTTTCAAATTTAAGATCAACAGGTCTTGGAATATTCCTTCCATCGTACTAATGTTTACTTTCTATCATTTTTGATTGGTTTTTTTGATTGTTTTTGATACAAAAGTGTTAATTATAGTTCAGTTCAGTTCAGATTAGTAGATTGGAGGTGGAAGAATACATCTATTTGATGACAGTTGCTTCTTTGTTACTTTTATTCCTTCGTGGCAACTTCTTTTTACTATGTTATTGTATATTTGTAATGTTGTATTTGCCTGAATAAATGATAATAATAATGACAACAACATTTCGCCCGAATTGTAATCTGGGAGTACTTAATCCTGATAGAAAAAAAGGACCTAAGTTTTATTTTTTTTTTATATGAATTAAATTAAAAATCAAATATTACTATATGAGGCCTGTCGTGGCCTCATATTATGAGGTGACGTAAATATTGTCATTCAACCATTTAATCATGTAGGCTTGGCAAACATGTCAATTTTTTAATGTAGAGGTGAAAACGAATCAGTGACTTTCCTACGTATACGTTTGGGGTAGTCACGTTATTTTCGAATATTAGTCCTCAGACAGGCTTATGTTGATGTTGAATATGTATATTGCTAGTTGCTGTCAAGTGATACGTGTACATGTGAGCCGACTATTCTTTTTCCAGTTGAATGTTGATATTGATATTAAGATTGAGATTTCAAACGACACTAAGGCAACCAAAAAAGGGACGACGACAAGGAAACCCATGAAAACGACCGAAACCCAAGAGAAAGAGAAGACTACGACTCAAAATAGACACGAACCCACTACTCAGCAGCATCGCGGCAAAACTACCACTATCGACCCTGAGTACGAAACTACTTTGTTAAAAGAGTGGACGACGCCTAGATATCCTACTACTCGGCCTATAAATCCCATCGCTAGCCCCACGACAGATAAGCAAACGACAGATGTAGTAATTTCTACCAAGGAAAATGTTAAAACCACGGCTTACAAACACACAACTACGGACCATAACGAACAAACTACCAGCGGACCGGAAGCTACAACGCTCAAGGAACAAGTAAACAAAATAATTGTGCTTGTGTTTTTCTGCACAAGGCTTCCGTTAGCTGTTCTAAGTGTTTATCAGAGTTCACGTAGCACACAGGCCTTAGCTGTAAATATTGTCAATGTCCACAGATATTTCTTCTGCACCCCCCCCCCCCTTCTCTCTCTCTCTCTCTCTCTCTCTCTCTCTCTCTTCTCTTCTCTTGGACCAGAGACGTGTGAAGTTTGAAGTTCGAAGTAAATTTCTGTATGTGTCTCTTGTTGTAGTGGCGCTAATATGCATCTCCAGAAATCCGTCCTCCCCAGAAAGTGTATGATGGATTGGAAAAACGTGATACAGTTTTTATGGGGTTAAGTATTAGGTGATGGCCTAATGTATAATGCGACACTTGATCTGTTTTAAATTCGTCTGGTTAGTCTTATTGTTAAATCATTCGAGCTTCTGTACGCAAGTAAACAAGCTTTACATATAATATGCTTTTTCAAATTCTAATTTCGTTCTTATTTTATATTGCATTGTTCATTGAAATTGGAGGGCTGAGATTGGAGCAGTTTCTCGTAGACAACAACTTTCTCACGTCTATAGTAGACAACTCCGCTTGAAACATTTTATTAATAAGAATGCTGTGTTCCCTTAATCAGATATATAACTGTTGTTAAAAATTGAATATACTAATAAAATGAAATAGCTTCTTATACCTTCTTATGTTGTTCTATTATATTCTATTTATAGCCTACTACGTTATCTTTCTCGAGCCTGAATCCTCACCTGCATCACATGAAAGAAGACATCATTGTGAACATTGAGAACAACACAGAGGTTTTTAGCATCCCTGCAACCGATGGTCACGAGGCCATCATGATGCTGCATGATTTTACAAATGTATGTACTGTTCAGTACGAACGACATAATACTACTTGTGGTGGTATCTCTCTAGACGGCGCGCGTTTACGTTGATGCAAGTAGCATGCGATCGAACTTAAAACAGATTCCAAACTTATACAAATGCAGGTCTAAAGACCCCTCTAATTAAAGACCACCTCCAATTAAAGACCCGGTTTTTGTGTAGTCCCAAATTAACAAATCTCTTTTATCTTTATTATTCTAATTAGAGACCAAGCTGCTAAAGACCATGAAAACCCCGGTCTCAAAAGTGGTCATTAATTTTAGAGACACCTGTTGTGGTTAAATAAAACCATTTTCAGAACGTCTGCATTACAGTTTGGATATCTATAGTCCCATCTTGTGATAGACGACTGAGTTTAGTCTTGTATGAGGGCGTTATCATTGTGTGCATAGTGCAAGGATTTTTATCTGTGCAGTTAGAAGTCCTCTTGCATAGTGTATGGATATACAACATTCAAAATAATATAATGTTTGTTATAGAGTTATGCTCACACCACAAAAACAAAACAATTCCAATATAAGTATAGGCCATTGAACCTGGTTGTATTGGTGAAATTTAAAGCCATGTTCCGGAGAAAAAAATTTTTGAATAATACAACTGATTTTTCACAAGCAGGATATTTAAGGAAACAATCTAGATACAAATGTTTTTGGTGGAAAGGGGATGGAACCATTCTTTTCCCGCCTTCTTAATATACTCAAAAATCTGTATCTCATTGGTTCTGGAGTTGTGATGCCACACTTTCTGTGTCTTTGAAAATCATTTGTACAATATATCAAAATATGTTTTTTTTCTCCGAAGCCTATTCTTAACAACAAACTTCATTCATATGTTAAACAGTTTATGCAATGGTTATACTATTCTCAGCAATTTCTTCTTAAAATTTTCTTTATGTTATGTTGTGTCTTTCTCAGAGATATACAGCTTATCTACTTGTCGAACAGGAACTGTGCTTCGTGAAAGACATTAATCCCCTCTTGATGATTCCATTTTTCCTTTTCCAAGTCTTGTTGGTAAATGTCAAATTTTTATTAATTATTAAGGAAGAGAGTGAGTTTTAAAGTCATAAAACATGTTTAAGATGAGGTTATTAATAGAGCTGTAAGTGGCAAGTGTACTTGCCGTTGGATGTGAAGGAAATAAAAAATAAAATGCTTACAATGTGGTTTATTGTTATGGTTCTTTTGCCAAGCCGTACGAAGGATATGATACTGCATTTTTTAAATTAAAATCTTTGTTATCCTGTCTTTCAGAATCCTCTATATCTCTTGCAAGAGTATTTCGTTACTCGTGATTCATACATCGCCATTCCACCACCGTTAGATTCACTGTCGACGTTCGGTGCAGAGATAGATAGTATGTGCGGCAGTGTTCCAACATTCTGGCTGGAGGAAATGAATGACGAATACGAAACAGTGGACATCACCGAACTACCGTGGTGGGACTGGGGTTACCCTGAGTGGTTTAACCGACGAAGGCGTTCAGGTGAGATGATTAGCCTACTTGAGAATTCTTGGAAGTACTTTCCTTCGCTCAAAACATGTTTTCTAAAAACTTTTTATTGTGTACAATAATATTTCTTCAATTGCTGTATTCTCTCAAAAACCTTGGTGAATGTATTCATTTTTTGTTCATTTACGTACATAATGTACTATGTTTTTCATTCTCTTAAGAGCACGTGATATTCGTGTTTCAAGTTCTTAGATTGCCAACATTAGACTCTGAGACACACAATGTAAAAAAAAAACAAAACAAAAAAAAAACACTGTCATAAATTTAAGGTATAAAATACATCAAAAGGTTACAAGCCACATCTAAGTTTCTCATTCACCAGTCTCTGATAGGTATAGGATAAAAATTCTTTTCCTGTCAAATTTATCTCTTTTTTTAAATTTTTGTTTCCGAAAGAAAAACTATTAAGCAAGATATAAATCATGAATTGCACATTGTTTTCTTTTTTCTTACAGTTAAAGGAAAACTAAAGAAAATCCAGGTTTTCGACAGTGATGAGAAAGTTCACGATATGAAGATTTTGTTCAAGTCCCCTTCAAATTAAGAGCTTGATCCTGTCAGCATACATCGAGATCACTCCTAAGCATTACAATAATATTATTAATTATACCTGCTTCGAGTACATCATTTCAATCACTTTCTTCAGTCAGAAACGAAACTTTACTTTCAATTAGACTGTCTTATGAATGGATCTCTTTAAATAATAATCCGAATGGATGTACCATATTTGAAAATTTGTGATTGATAAAACACACGGTTTTACACATTTTAAGTAAAAGTAAATCTACACTGTATTTTAACATATTTTGTCAATATTTTAAGGTGATACTAGATTTAAACACACACAGTAAATCTTAATCTGATTTGATCATAATTTGATTTTTATATTTATCAAAAACTTTCAACTTTTCGCTTTGTACTTAACATTCCCGATTCTATATTAAAAGAAGTCTAAGTTTGCGACCCAATTTGGCGCGTAACAGTAGATCAAATGCCGTATATTCGTGAAATGAACATGGAAACTGGCAATTATGGTCCGAGGGTATGTTGGAGTGTCATTCTTATCTTTTGTCTTTTGGAAGTCGAAGAATCTACCACCCTAAAATCTTCAGATTTATTATTTATTTTAATCTTTTACCTAAACGATTCCGTATTTGGTTTAAGGGGCTGCCTTAGGGAGATTGGGCAAGCGCCCCTTTCACCACTCCCTTTACTCTGCAGCCAAACAAACTTTACAAACTGAAACTAAAGCTGAATAATACTATAAATAGTTAGGCTGACATAGCTTGATCATTATGTGCAACATGTGCCTTATATGCTTAAGACGACTGTACATTAGTTTTCGTATTGCACTTTAGGAATGTACAACTATGCACATAGTGTAAACTAATATTACGGTACATTGCATTAAAACTGTGACGGTATATATGCTTGTGTTTATTGCTAAACACACATGACACAAAATTAACACAATTTTTTTGCACACGAATATTTCGTCCTGCCTTCAGAATCTTCTCAATTAACGTGAATCAAATTGTTGCCCTTTCAACATTGGTTCACGTTGAAAACATTCTGGGGCGGGGGGTGGGGGAGGAAGAAATATTTGTAATAAAATACTTATATTTGTTTGTAATAAAATACTTATGTTCTTCAAATACGTCAACCGTGTCATCTGAATTTATCAATGTCTGTTATCAATATATGAATGAATGTTATCAATATATATATATATATATATATATATATATATATATAGTGTCTACTAATTACAAGTAAATATATATGTGTGTAGTTTCACCATAAACTAGCTAGACTGTAATCCTGAAGCGTTTGGAAATTAATTATCTGCTGGCTGACACGTGGTTGTCACACTTACAATGTATATAGCTTATATATAAATTATACACACATAGTGGCATTTTATTACACAGTTTCTTTATTCATTTATTTACAGGAGTACATTCGTTGAGAGCTATGCTACACGATGTATTATTATGTCCTTTATTCGAACACTGTATTTACCTTTCTTTGATGATATATATATATATATATATATATATATATATATATCTAGAAACAGGATTGACTTTTAGAAAACAATTTTTATTTTCTCATGAATATTTTGAGCTGATCTCAGGTCCTCTTGAAACAATGTTATAAGCATCGTATCAACAGTTTCCTAACAATATTTGAAGAAGTGCTACTTAGAAATTCGAACCCACGTTCTCTGACTGTCAAGGCGAGTCTCATACCATTAGACCACGGTAGTCCATTGGTATTAGCAGGGAACAGTGAAATTACATGGAAACATCTAATAATTTGTAATTTCACTGTTCCCTGGTATTAGGCAGATACAATTCAACCAAGGACACTTCTTCAAACAATTTGGGAAATCGTATAGAACAACAATTATGAAGTATATTAGATAAAAATCTTAGACAATTATATACTCAGATTTAATGTTTGCTTACTTTAAATGTTTGCTACGTATTTTCTTGGTCATTCAGTAACTGTTACAACAAGCACTTTTAGGCCTAAATGTAAGAGATGTTAAGGAAAGCATATAATTTTATCGTTAAGCTCAGCGAAGAGTGTAAGGTTAGTTTCAATAATGGTATTATAATAGCCAAAGAAATTAACAATATCAACACATTAAAAATACATAATAATGAACAATATGTATAAAAATAATTGCGCAGAATTACATCTCAAACCTCTGACGGTAGTATTTTTTGCTGCAAAGATTAAAGAAATCAATATGCTTAGAACTACGACAGAATCAGAACAAGATAATGCTGGTATGAAAGGTCGGCCTTCGGTAGATTCTTTTTTGCACAATATTTTATAAGATTTATTGAGCTTTGTATATTGCTTTTGAAAATATGTTATGCCGTTTTATTTGAAAAAGATGCAAACCCAAAGCCGTAGAGAGATAGGCGATAAAACTGCATCCCACCCGAGCCTTACATTATTTGTATTAAATCAAGGTGGCGCAGGGTGCAACAAATCCACAATCATCTACAGCATACTTTACTATCATATCAACTACGGTAACAAAAACAAAAATACCCCTTATCCGGGTTCTCTCAATGGTTCTGTAGAGGCTAACAGCAAAAAGAAAAGTTTGGGTTTAAGCAGAATAGTATGTATGGTGAATATAAGATGTATATGATGATTCGAAAAGATTTTAATGAAAGATTTTAATAAAGAATTTATTTTTGGTGTTGTTAAAAGATTGCTTAAATTATCTCTATTTTATTCGATTAACGTCATGTCTACAAAGCATTTAAGCGTTACACGCAGCTAATTGTCAAGGTGTTTCGACTCCAAGAAAAGCAGTTTTGTAGGCCTACGTATTTCAGGTACAGGACATACTCTTTGGATATGGTTAACTTAGTTACAGTGTGATTTTAAGATCATCATTATGATTATTTTATGTCAGTAACCCACCTCAAACACAACACCAAATAACACACACTATTAAGTATTCGGCAGAAATTGACACATTGTTTATTGCCGTATTAAATCACAAGAAAAACACCAATGCACGTTTGTCAGGTAACATTCATCTCATTTAAAGTCAACAAACACAGGTCACCATCATAATTATTATTATCGTTGTCACTGTAGATTGTCGTTAGATAAATCATTTTTTATGTCATTGCCTTATACCATTAGGATGCATTGTTTCCCTAATAAAAAAATACTGAATTGTTGTTTCGAATAAAAAAGCGCATTATTGTTTAACAATAATGCAATTTACCCTTTTTCTTCTGCCCGTCAACTCGTTTCCGCCTCTGAAAATATTTTTCCTTTAACCACAATGAAATAATTAGGCCATGTAAAAAAAATGTTTTTGATTGTCCCCCTCCCTACATAAAAAAAAAATCACCCGACCATTTTATAAAAAATATATTCGCCAAAACTCACGGAAGTATCGTATTTCCGCCCATAATTAAACTAAGCTAGACTTACGCTATTTTTGTTTAAATATTTTGTCTCAGTCCATTTGTTTTTTCGTATAAATTCCATATGATCTAACACTACACTGGAAGATCCGTCAAAGTCAGCCACCATTTACATGAGGCCTTGCACTCCATGGGAGATTTGAAGAATTCGCATTTATTAATGGGGTGCTTTTCATTACTGATTAAAAAAAGAATAAAAAAAACCTCCACCGACTTTTTTTTTTTAAGGACGATCAACAACTCTTTTTTTTACAGGGCCTTATTGGCAGTGTACTTTTCCTGTTCCTGCTGTGTGCCAAATTAAAACAGATTATTTTCTTATTGCTAGTTTTCTGCACAGTCAAAATTACCAGCTTGAGGAATACTAGTGTTTATATTTAATTCTGTAAAATGCATTTCCTCTTACAAAAATAATGCTATGAAACGAGCGACGTCTAGATTCTATCATGGTCATTTTTAAGTTCAAATAATGAAGTACACAGATGACTCAAACATGCTGTTAAGGACGTTTTAAATGAGAACATCGGGACAATGTAAACACAAACAGAAAATTAACTACAAACCAGAAGTCATCATCATCATCATCACTACCTATTCATCATCATCTTTACCATCATCATCTTAACCATAATCACCTGCACCATCATCACCAATATCAGGCCTAAAAAATCGTTTGTTTGCTGTCACATTGTAAAAATTTGAATACAAGGGCGGGTGGAAATTTTTTCCAATTTTTAATTGGAAAAAAATTATTTTTTCCCCCTTTTTTTTAAATCCTAAAATCATAGAAACATCGTGAAAACTGTGCGATTGCCATTTTTTTTACGGAAAAACGATCATATTTAAAAAAAATAAAATAGTAAATAGGCCTATTTCCATATGACACGGATTTGTGCCAAAATCGACGAAAAAGTGATTTTCATTTGATTTTTTTAAACTTGAAATTCATTGTTATGTTTCACCTAAGGATCATACTAACGTGTTCTGTGGCACTTACGGACCTTGTGATTGGAGGAATGACCAAAAAACAACTAGGTTAAAATAGCTGGGTTTTTTGTTTTTTTTGTGTAGAAATTGGACGATTATTTTACCCTGCTGTTTTCCGGTTGTTTTGTGTTCTGCACCTTTAGGATCATACGGTCACGTTCTGTGGCACCATAAAGGACTCTGTGAAAGGAAGCATCACCACAAAACAGCGGCTCCCCTTTTGTAATGATGATGATGATGACAATGATTATGATGACATTGGTGATAATAGATAATAATATTAATAATATTAAAAAGTGAAGAAAATTGTGCTAAAGGCGAAAAAGTAAGTTGTGATTTGTTACTCACAATTATTATAATATAGTTAAAGCTTAGTAAGCTATATAGTTAGGCCTAATTTGTCTTGGATATTAAGTAGATACCTTGATAAAAGTATATGATAAATTTGTTGGCGCTTCATTTTGACTATATTATGGTGATGTGATGATGATGAATTTTAATTTATATATTTAATATTTCAAGCCATCTAGAGGTACTATTTCCTCAAATTTTCGCACCTCAGCCCCAACCATGGTGGGGCTCAGGCAGTTGTGAACTCACGGCTTTGAAGTATGTAAAGTACATAGGCCAACTCAAAAACAAGGTTTATAGGTATGTGTAATTTTGCCCTACCTGTCATGGAAATGTACTAAATACTCAGTACGTTTGAAAACAATTGCGAAAAAAATCGCAAATTTTTCTAGGGTGAGACTCGAATCCACGATCTCCAGATCACTAGCCTGGCATCATATCTCTAGACCACCGAGTTTGCGCCTGATGGCCAGGGTTGAATTTGAGTCCAAGAAAGCAGCGGGTACTGCAGTGTTGATAGTAATTGTTATTGTCGTGATGAAATAGGCAATAACTGGATTTGCGTCAGGAGAAACATGTATAGGTGTAATTATTATTATTATTATTATTATTATTATTATTATTATTATTATTATTATTATTATTATTATTATTATTATTATTATTAGTATTATTATGCATAGGTGTAATTAAATGTTTATAAGGTTTATAAGCTTTATTTTCATACTTAAGCTCTCTGTGGTTGCTAAAAATTCCTGATAAATGATCATGAGAATTTTTTTGGCGCTTCATTTTGAGTACATGTAATCAATGCCGTAGCCAGCTATTGGGATAGTTGCAAGGTCCCACACAATTTTTCTATTGGGTCCAAAGAATGGGTCTATACTTTCAAAAAGAGATCTAAATTATTATGTTTTAGCACAAAATGAGTCCTGTTTTTGAAATAAAAAGGGTTCAGATTTTGCGTAAAATTGGTCAACTTTTAAGAAAATGGGTACAGATTTTTCGTATTTTTGAGTAAAATGGATCCAATTTTAAGAAAATGGGTCCACATTATTTGAATTTACGCGTAAAGTAGGTCCACAATGATATTGTTCCGTGATCTGATGATGAGGTTTTTGCCCTCTTAGACAGCTGACCATGGTCATTTGCTATGTCCCCAACCAACTGTTCGCTTTCCTACAAAAAAAAAAAAAATATCTTATCCCATCATCATTATCGTCATCATCATTTACCATCATCCCCCTTATCATCATAATATGTAGGGCGCTAATCATCATAATCATTATCATCATAATCATTATTATCATCATCATTATCATCATCATCATTATCATCATCGTCACCATCACCACCTTCTTCATTATAATCATTTTTTCTTACGGGCCTGCTGATAACGCAGAAAACACTAGTGCACGACTTGCTAGACTTCTCAAAACAAAAATGTGTATTTTCGGGCATTAGCTTTCTTTCAAACTACCTTATTCCACCCTAGCCCCTTCACAATAAATAATGAAAACATAAAGTAATAGAATAGGCCTAAAAGAGGCAGCCTTATTCATTGAGATAAAAGCTGTCAGGCTTACCGGATTACTTTATTTGGACAAATAATTAATTATTAACATATTAGAGGCCTGGATATGTAATATGTATTAATAATATAGCAGAATTATAATAATTATGTCTAAACAGGCCTAAACATAATGTTGCTTTGTAGGACACTGTATAGAACAGTAGCGGTTACTTCTTGGCTTATTTACACGCAAACAGGATATTTGATTGATATATCACTGCCCATGACGTCATGCGTATCATAATAAAAATTATAAAATTACATAAATAAATCAATACACTCTAACGGACAGTGAAGTATATGTTATCATTGCAAAGTTCATTGTGAGAAAGTTAATTTTCAAATGGAAAAGCAATTAGTAATTAAATGTATTAATATATAACGTTGTGTTCGGCTTCAGTCGGCATTCAGATAAAACAGCGCCACCACTCCAAACATTATATAATGCCAATCCGACATGGTTGAGAAGTCATTTTGTGGTTATTCTAATGAGTAACAATTTAGTTAAAACGACTGATACTACCACCAGCGCAAAGTAATAATAACTTAACTTCCTCTAAATCGACGTAACGTACATCAAACAGAAAGATGGTGAAGCCCACTACAGTTTCCAATGAGGGTAAGGACCCAATTGATAAAACTAAAGAGGAACTGAAGGCAAACGATGGATCAGTAGTTGTGGTAAGTTATCATGTTAAAGGTTCTACTCTAAAATTATCGATCGCTACTCTACTATATCTGTAAGTCTATAGAATAATTAAATGAGTTATAAACTGCGTCAAAGACACGTGTTATACTGGATACATTGAGCTAATCTGAACTTCGATATTCATAGTGCTTACTCTGCTTATTTAAGTGGTTGCTTTCAATTTTAAAATTTGACATATTAACATAGCCTACAGTGTTCAAATAAAGGGCACTGTATTTACCTTTCTTTGATGATTTATATACATAATTTAACAGTGTTAACGGCAATGTTTTTGTCCTTAGTGTAACCTGGCAATATCTACCCCCTTTCCCCCCCCCCCCCCTACACACACAAAAGTTTACCCCCTTGGTTGGAACCAAGCAATTTAATATATGGTTAGAAAGCTATAGAAAGCGTTGTTCAATAATGCATTGTAATGGCATTGTATATTCCTGGCTTGAATTCATAAACGTCACAGCAAATTCAATACACGCACAAAATAATCCATTAATAATGCCTACCTGTTCATAACAAAGGCGGCTCTAATTCTGACACTGACGCAGCAAAATACTTGACCCCACACCACAGTACAGTACTTGGCATCAAATTCAAAGAAATAGGATTGTCTCCATGGTAATCCGGTTTCCTGAAGACACACTCATAGTCAGCTAATGGTCACGTCACACCTAAATATTAATGTCCACTTCCTATCACAATAATCTTTATGTCCAATGCTTTAAATGGGAATATATCGTACATGTCAAACCACTACAGTACAGTATAGACCTACATAATAGTTTGAGATTGAGATCGTCATTATTATTATAATTAATATTATTATTATAATTACTATTATTATTATTATTATTATTATTATCATATTATTGATAGGCCTATTATTATTAATACTATAATTTTTTTAGTTAATGTTTTTATTATCGTTATCAATATCATTATTAATCTTCATTATTTAATTTATAATTCTAGTTAGACTATAATTTTACTATTTAAATTATTTTTTTTTTCTTCATGCAGGTAACAGCTATTACTCCAACAAAGCCGAAACCCTCAAAAGTACGATGCAAACTATGTGTCGTGGTCAGTGTTGCGGTCGTGCTCCTTATCGTCCTCGGCTTGTTCGCTTTAAAAGGATGCTCGGAAAGGCGACACCACGATGAGGTGAGTAGCCCTCCAGTGCAGTGGTAGCCGGGCACTGGCTGCGCCCGACGGTCGTCGGCCGACGCAATTCTATATAAAGAACGCAACGCGACAACGCGCGTGCAACTGGTCGTTTTTTAATTCGTTCAGACTGCCACCTGCTGCCACCGACAATCAGCAGACGGCCTCGCGTCGTCTAGCGTCCACAGGGAGCGGAGTTGGATTATTCGTACGAATCGCGTCGTACGACGCAGTGAGTGCCAGGCTTAAGGAAAAATCGGGCCCCCAGTTAAAAAGGGGCCCGAGTTGCACCGAATCCCAGCATGAACCCAGTGTTGGTCTGCTTTTTTGGATGGTGCCTTAAAAATACAGTAAATATAAATAAAACGATTGATGGTGCTTCAAGAGCCTTTGACCAATATTAGATGCCAAAAGATATCAGTGAATGGCGATGCCAAACAATTCGATTTGTGGTTTACTACTCAGTGGTGGATTCAAAAAAATTCCAAAATTTTTCAAAATTTCCCGAAATATTTGGGAAAAAATGAAAATTTTACCCAAATTTTGAGTCTAAGAATGCCATTTCTGGCAATCTAGAGGTGCCATGATTATAAATGTTCTTACCTCAGCCCCAACCATGGTGGAGCTGAGGTAGTATACGCCCTCCATCTGTGAAAGTCCTTCTCTGCCCCCCCCCCCTCTATTTTAAATTCCTAGATCCGCGCCACTGCTACTCAGTAGATAATTTCATTGACATCTCAGTCGTTTTTTAATTGGGATATTACCCCATCTCGGATACTTTTCTTTTTTTACTGGCATTAGTGTTTTTTTTTTTTTTTTTTTTTTTTTTTTTTTTTTTTTTTTTTTTTTTTTTTTTTTTTTTTTCTTTTTTTTTTATTTTCTTTTTTTTTTTTATTTTTTTTTTTAATTTTTTTTTTGTGGCACCTTACTTAAACCTTGTCCCCCGGTGTTTTTAATTCTAATTTCGTTGGAATTGATCAAAACTCCCTAAAATGTGCAATTTTTAGAGGAAATTGGGCCATGTTAACAAGAAATGCGCGCGAAATTTGAGGTTTTTAGGAACTTTCAGGGGATGAAAGGGCATTTATAAAGGGGGGGTGGGGAAGAATTTTCAAAGATAGATATTTTCTCCTTGTCCCCCAGTGGTTACGCCATCAGGCAGCATAGATCAAAGGAGTTATGATAGTTTTTGAAGTGGAGAATGGGTTGCATGGGTGTTGTGAGTCTGGTCATTATGATAGCTGTCTTTTTATTCTTGTCTTTATTTTTCTCTTCTCTTTTTCTTTCCTTTTCTTTTCCTCTTCTTTCTCTTTCCCTCCCTCTCCCCTCTTTCTTTTCTCCAGAAAGTCGTCGTACCCAGCCCGGTACGACGACTTGGTCGGCCTGGTAAAAACCGTCAGGGGAGGGGCAGTTTTCACCCTGCCCCACCCCCCCCCCGCGCCTGTTACGAAACTGGCTAACACGCCAATCATCCCCCCCAATGAAAAATATTTTTCTACGCCACTGGTGTGTTGTGTAATGAACATTGCTCGAATGTCCATTTTTCAGGGCATTGCAGAGAGACGGCGGCGAATAAAATCGATATGTGGATGAGTCAACCCCGATAGTTGGGAGGAGCTCACAAACATTATGCCTATTAGTACAGACTGTAGGCCTACCAGTTAAAGAATGAGTAAATCGTGTTGTGTTATATCGCCCCATCTTCTTCTGGCATATCCCCATCATACCATGCCCCGAAGACTCTCAATAATAATAAACACAGAAATAACATAGGCCCAATATTTTCTGTCCTCAGGACGATAAAAAACACGATATGGTGTTCGAGTTGGATGCTGAATGGCATAGGGACAATGATGGTAATGAACGCTACCCAGATGGGGATGGAAAACATGGGGATAAAGATGGCCGTCGTTGGATTGACTGGGCACGTGACCACGATCTCCACGATCTCCACGATTAAACGATATTTCATTGTAAGTATTAATAACAACTTATTATTATTATTATTATTATTATTATTATTATTATTATTATTATTATTATTATTATTATCTTTGTTATTACTATTACTCTTATAATAATAATTATTATTATTATCATTATTATTAACATTATTATCTTTAGTAGCATTAGTATTTTTAAATATTATTGTTGTTGTTTATTTTATTATTTTACTAATAAGGGTGCTAATAATGGAGATGGTAGTGAAAAATTTAGCAAAGAAATCGAAGACAATGGAAATTTTGTTATGCTGAATTTGATTACGATCATGAAATTGATGAAAATGATAATTGTAATGAATAACAATCATGCTGTATAATATTTCCATGACGACAATGCTAATGTTTAAGGAGATTATGATATGAGGCTGATTATGATTATGGCGTAGGATGTTATGTAGATAACATATTATACCGTACACCTTCTGGTACTAAATTTATCTTGTATTTTTTCCAGATGATTTTCCCGCAAGATGTAAAATGAAGCGAATGTAGCGTGTATTACAGAAGATTTGATTCAATTGAATTTTATAAGATTTATAATATATAGGCCTATATATATATAGGCCTATATATATATACCGTACATATATATATACATATATATATGTATATATAATGGGTTTTATATTAAATAGGTTTATTCTCGCTTTTTACATAATACCTTTCCATCCGTCATACCATTATATATTAGTTACTATATCAGATTGTTATTTCATACACTTATATTTATTCCTGATATCTGACTGTATAGTATAAGACCACAAATATATGTGCGTGCGGGTTCTCGGGTGCTAATAATCTTAATGGAATATTTTCATATGATATTATAGTAAATTCAAATAAAATACTATAGTAACACATAGTAGAGATATATATTAACAGAGGCGGTGAGAGGAAACCTTTTCAATTCCGTGTATACAATATCGTGGTATTTGAGTAATTATATATTTTATTTCTATCAACCTATTCCTGCATTTGTATCTTCAATTTATTTCATAGTTCACGTATGATTTATACCAAGAGACATTATTAAGTGAAATCATTACAAAGTAGCAAAGAGTACCGTATAGAACTGCAAGAGGCCCGACTCTCGGGGTTTCGTTCGAACGTAATCTTATTTTCAAAAACTTCCACGAACTAATTGGGCGTCCTTCAAAAGGCGAGTTTCGAATTTTGATAGGGCGCCCCCTATCTCGTGTAGTACTTTTTTTAACATTTCATTTCAGGACAATCGGACTTCTTGCAATTTATTCTATACTTTTTGATAGTAGACTATAGTAGGCATTTTTTCAGATTATTAAAAATGATGCAAAGATTGAAGTTTTCCACTAAAAATCGAAAAAAAAAACACCTAATGTAATTATATCAACATTTTGCTATCGTCAAATATACATATTAAATTTATCAGAAACCCTCCCTGAAAACCATCTTTTCAAAGTATAACTTCATTCATATTTTTTTAGGCCAATATCAAATTGAACTGGTGTATAATACTGCGTATTTTGTCATGAATCGTGTACATGTAAGCCTTTAACAAGGCCTACATAGCAAGAATGATAAAGTATCTATATTTTGTAATAAAGAATTTGAAGAAAGAACGCATTAGGCCTATGTCCATATTTCTTTTATAGCAAATCAAACAGTTCCAGTTTGTTTGCTGAAACCAATGACCTAACCGAGCAATGACCAACCTAACTGACCAATGACCAATGACTGACCAATTACCAATGACCTAACTGTTCACAGAGCAATTATAAATAATAGCATTTACCGTATTTTATAACGGGAAGTCGTACAATACCAGTAGCGGATCCAGAAATTCGAAGAGGGGACTTTGAGAGAGGGACTGTCACAGATTGATGGTCTACACCACCAGTGGCGGCTCTTAGGATATATCTTCTGAGGGTGGGGTTGGGGCTGAGTGTGGGTCGTATGTCTGAGCCTGGGGAGGGTTTAAGAGGTGGAGGTGGGATTAAAGTACAGTACGAATATATATTTTTTCTCCATAAAAAAAAATAATCTTCAACAATTTGGGGGGGGGGGGGGGGGTGCGGGTTACCTGCACCTGTCTCTTATACACATCTATGATGATGTCGATGGTGGTGGTGATGATGAAGATGATGATGATTATGATGATGATGATGATGATGATGATGATCATGATCATCATGATCATCATCATCATCATCATTATCATGACCATGAAGATGATGACAATGGTGATGACAAGGATGACTGTGATAAGGATGATGAGGATGACGATGATGACGATGATGAGGACAATTATATTGAGAATTATGAGATAATGTGTTGAAAACGAGCTGCACATAGTAATATACGCAGAATTAGAAAAACAACAGTGAAATTGAAAGAAATTTGTACAAAAAAAAACTGTTAAATTAATAATTTTTTTCATTACTGTGGATTTTACAATTTGAATATAAATTTCTATTGTCCATATCATCCATTGTCAGTTGTCTGGGATAGAAGATGTTTTCATTGTGTTGTTGGTGACAATGAATTACAATGGCCGTCAGTTACCATTTTATGAATATATAATCATAGGTCTATATCAACTATTAATTTAATAATCTTGATTTTCATTAATCTTTGAAATATAATTTCTTTGTTGAGTTCCTTATAACATACAAGATAATATAATAATCGTTTATAAATTGTCCAGGGTCCCCAATTAGTATGGATACAAGGATAAGGATACAAAGATAGTTTATCCATTCAACTTCGGGGAAATTTCGTGACTGAAAAGCAATGTGAATACAGTATAAGAAAATGCATTAGACAACAATTAACTGATAGTGATTAATAGTAATAAAAAAAAAAAATAAATAAATAAAAAAAAAAAAAAAAAAAAAAAAAAAAAAAAAAAAAAAAAAATAATAATAATAATAATGCATTTCATGTAGTCATGCGGAACACTTAACAAGATAAGATAAATATTATTGCTGTAGGCCTACTACTTGAAAAAAAAAAACATAACAGTGTCGGATCCACAAATTTGAAATAGAGGTGGCCCAGGGAGGAGCTTTCACATGTTTTGAATCTGTACACCTCAGTCCCACCACGGTTGGGACTGGGGAGAAATGATTATGGCACCTCTCTAGATGATCGACCGGAGATGGCACTCTCAGACTTATAAGAATATGTTTCCTTTTATTCCATAATTTTTAAACAATGAAGGGTTGGGGAGGGGGTGCCCGGGTCGTCTGGGATATCCACCTACCCTCCTTGAATCCGTCACTGCATAAATTATTACAAAAACATGGAACAAAGAAATTATATTTCAAACAAAGATTAATGAAAAATGAACATTCATTAAAAAAAAACCCCTCATAACAATAATGGACCTTTCCAGAGTGTCAATCAAACTTAACAACTGACCAATCAAAACATCATTAAGATTACGCGCCTGTCCTACAAACACACGTGTGCCCCACAAAAACGCACGTGTTTTACGTACGTTTACGAGTGCTTTCTTTTTTGTGGGACCTTAGCAAATTAATATATTTAAGCGGCGTGCTCAGCGGAAAGGTCCACTACTTCAGACAACTGAAAATGGATGAACTGACTTTGCATTTCATATTTTTAAGGACGCATGGAAACGAAGAATTGATATTCAAATTGTCAAATTTCACATTAATAAACAATATTCTAATAATTTATATATTTCTTTTTAATATTTTTTTTTGTAAAACAATTCTCTAAATTTCACTGGTTTTTTTTCAACTGGCGATCCGAATGATAATACGCCTGTGAAAAACCTTAATTGTCACAGTTTCCTTTGGATACTCCGCCTGGATTACTTCCGAAGGTTTTTGAGCGACGACCGACCACGTGCACCTACTTTCTCGTCGAGAAGCCGGCCCGCATCGGAGACGTCGGACCCCTCTCCCTGTCATGCAAATCCTGGCGCCACACCCCTGCACCGACCGACAACCATGCAGACAGCGTAACGTTGTAAAGCGTTTACATCGAGAGGAGATGGATTCGTAATATGACTGTCACACGGCCTCCGTATGACGATTAGTATGAGCCCAGATTTACGATGCACGCAAATCCTGTTAACAATGTGCCCTATGAGGATGATTTAAGTATCTAGGCCTAGTTACTTTATGACGGTAACAATTATTTTGTATTGACATTGAGGTGCATGTATTCTAGCCTAATGTTTGTACATTTTTCTTGAAGGGTTTTACCCTAAAAAAAACCCAGATAATTCGTTGGCCAGAGTAATTCAATAGCAGGAAATTTGGCAACGTGTTGGCAGATGCTATGGGAAATAGGCCTGTAAATACCGTATTGTATAATTTTATTGTATAAATTTATGAAAACATTATAAACAATTCTTAAATTTTAAAATTATCTGGATTTTATCAAAATTATCTACCTGCACTTTAGGCCTATCCCAAAACGTGAATCGATTTCTATGGAACGCCGTTCAGGAAACAATTTTGATGAAAATCAGTGAACCGACAATGATGAAAAAATTAAATCGTCAATGATGAAATGTGATGAAAAAAGTGAATCTTCGATGATAAAAAGTGAATCATCGATTATGAAAAGTGAACTGTCAATGATGAAAAAAGTGAATTGTCGATGATAAAAAGTGAATTGTCGGTATTGAAAAAAGTGAATCGTCGATGATAAGAATTGAATCGTCGATTATGAAAAGTGAACTGTCAATGATGAAAAGAGTGAATCGTCGATGATAAAAAGTGAATCGTCGATGATGAAACAATTGAATCGTCGATGATGAAAAAAGTGAATCGTCGATGATAAAAACCAGTGAATCGTCGATGATAAAACAAGTGAATCGTCGATGATGAAACAAGTGAATCGTCGATGATGAAACAAGCGAATCGTCGATGATGAAACAGGTGAATCGTCGATGAATCGCTGATTTTACTTAAAGGGCTGCATTTTTTTTCGCGCAAGCAACAAGGTCTGACCATGATCTGCTGACGACAAGTTTAGACCTAGGGCAACGAACTAGCCTAGGCCTAGTGACACCAGAATGTGTATGTTTGTTTATTTTTTATGTTTATTTGCTTGTTAATTTGTTTGATTTTCTCTTTATACATATTGTTTATTTGTGCATTTTTATTTGTCTATATATATTGGTATATTTGTTTTAATTTATTTATTTGTTTATCTGTTTGCATGTTATTTATGTATTTATTATAATTGACATTAAATAATAATAATAATAATAATAATAAATAATAATAATAATAATAATAATAATAATAATAATAATAATAATAATAATAATAATAATAATAATAATAATAATAATAATAATAAAAGTGTAGTTTTACATAGCGCACAAATCCATCTAATGTAAGATGCTCAGGGCGCTTGAAATGTGGACTAACATTTATATTATGTATATTACTGTATATATCGTACATACTCAATCTCCTTTTCATTCACATTGCGGTCGTCTAACGTTAGTCCTTTTAATCTACAGTGCAGTGACCAGTGATGTAAATCAAATTAGGCCAAGGGCCGATGGGATTATGCTGAATTCCCCCTCCCGCCGCCTAATGAAAGCAATACTAATGTCATATAGCCGTCGGAAGCCTTTTGCAAGTGGTCCGTCCATTAGTCAGAGCGGGGCTGGGTACTTAACAATTTTGGTTGTAAAAAGACCCGCTACCCCTATCCACAGATACAGGATTTTAAAATTAAAATTAGTGGGGTCTGAGAGCATCTACTCCAGACCAACGATGGTTGTTGAACAACATTTTCTGCAACTCTGAATGCCCAGAAATAGATGCTGACAACGTGTAGGGCCGCTAGCCCTTCCCTCAAGTGGCAGCCATAAGAAATAAAGTTAGCATGGAGATAAAGTCTATGTTGAAAATATAGTACTTCTGGATGCATGGAAATAGAAGCTTGCAAACCTGCCACCACCCATTCCTATCTGGACATAGAATGTGGTAGCATTGACCAAATTAAAATTCGTAGGACTATTTTACATCTTTGGAATAAGATAAATGTTATTAGGTCTACTGCGAATGATATATTGTTCAAGATTTAATTAAGTTAATTATTTCTCCATGAATAATTAAGTGCAAGAAAAACGAATGTTATATATAATGCAAGAATTAACAATGACTATCATATATTTATATTTACACGACGTGAAGTGTATTGTGAAATATGCAATGAAGTACAAGTGCAAGAAACACGAATGTATATATAATTCAAGGTATAACAATATGCAATTAAATAAAACATGTTCTATGAATACACAGGATACAATATGCTTTGAATTAACTTTGGAAATACAGTAGGTCTACGCCTACACAAATAACGTTTCGAGAAACATACTGCTGGAACAAGTTTAATTACACGTACTTACCAAATTCAACCTGAAGCATAATCAATTATTTATCCCGCTCTAGATGAGTAGAACTATCGCGTGAATTGTTAAAAAATGTTTTAATTAAATCCTGTGTTTCCCTCTGGTAGACACTCTAATTTTAGTCAATAAATTTATGTCAGACAGACCATGTAAGTACCCGGATGTACAGATCTAACAGGAGGTAAAGACATACTAATATAGAGCACTAACATTC